ATATCACCAGGCCCGTCTGGCCGTGCAGCCCTCAGCCGTGGAAGCGGGGGGTCCAGGGACCGTGGGGTAATTGTTGTGTGTGTGCATGTGTGTGTGTGTGTGTGTGTGCAAATATGTGTGTGTGAGTATGTATGTGTATGAGTGTCAGTAGAGCATCCAGCTTTCAGGAGACCAGGAATGTTCAGAGTGAAGAAATGAGATTGCATGAGTGTGGGGTGAGCCCTAGGAACTGGGGTGGGAGGTAATAATAAGGCGGAGGTTATAAGGGTGAATGTACACAGCCTGGGGCATGCTCAAAGGGTCGGGTGGGCTCCCGGAGTGTGCGCATGTAGACTGCAGGGAGGTGCCATGCATGTTATTTCTCGGGCATGAGTGTGCAAGCAGGTGCCGTGCCGTCTGAGCATGTAGGAATCTCGGGCAGTACTGATGTGAGTGTGCAAGGGGCACATTTCCACCTTGGTATGTAAGGGCCAGCATGTTCATGATTTAGGAAGGGGCTAGGTCACCATATTCATGGATGGAGGGCCCAGCCCTAAGGTGGACGCTGCCCAGTGTTCAAGCACACAGGGTGTGTGTGTGTGAGGTGTGAGAGGTGTCATTCTTGGGTATGCAGGGCTCTAGGAAGCCACGTTTTTCCTCAGATCTTGTTTATGTTCTGGGGTTGCTATTGGGTCTCTTAAAAAGCTTAGGCGGGTGGAAACCTTTGGGGTCGGCAGTCCCGATGTTCCACCTGCAACTCCCTCTTTCAGTTGCCAAGGAAGATGTCCTTGGTCCTACATCTTGAGCCCTTGCCTGACCTTTCTCTTGCTGTGAATGAGACCCTGAGGCCTAGCATCGATGGTGGCACCTGTGGGGGCTGCTTACTGCACTAGATGCTCTCCAGCCCATCTCCTTTCTGCTGCGATTGGTTTTCTTCTGTCTCAGGGGTGGTGGAGGCCAGGAGCTGAGCCGTGGTGGACATTTGCTCCAGGGACCTCAGCCCTGCGGGCTCCTCATGCCTGGCCCGGTGTTCTTACAGATGGGATTCTTCAAGCGGGCGCGGTACCCCGAGGCCACCGTGCCCCAATACCATGCGGTGAAGATCCCACGGGAAGACCGACAGCAGTTCAAGGAGGAGAAGACGGGTACCATCCTGAGGAGCAACTGGGGCAGCCCCAGACGGGAGGGCCCTGACGCACACCCCATCCTGGCTGCTGATGGGCACCCTGAGCTGGGCTCCAACGGGCACTCTGGGCCAGGCACTGCCTAGCTTCCTCTGTCCCAGCCTGGCCCACGGGTCCCCTCTACCGATTCCCCAGAGATGGCTCCTTGGGTTGAAGAGGGTAGAGTGTGTTGCTGGTGTCCCATCAGGATTGGGCAGGATCTATTTCCTCAGGGGCATAGACCTCTCTCCCAGGAGGAGCACCCCCAAACTCCCCCTTAGAATGCTGTGAGACGAGAGGGGTAAATTGGGGGTGGGGTCATGGGGTTGGGCGAGAAAGGCAGCGATGTCCTGATGCAAAGGTTGGGAGAAAGGACCCTAATCTCTCCCTCTCCCATGCACCCACGGTAACAGGACCCCAAAGACCTGTCTCCCCGAAAGTGCCTTAGCCAGACAGTTGGGGAAGAGGTCGCATTGCTGACTCAGGGGCTCTTCCCTCCCTAGTTTCTCCTCTCCTGTGACCTTAGTTTGCTGCGTCAACCTAGTGGATTTTGTCTATTTATTAAAAAAAACATCTGAGGACAAACCTCTGGCCTCTTTGCTGAGTCCCGCTGTCTCATGCCCGAGGTCTCCAGAAGAGGCCTGATTCCCTCCGCACCCCCACAGCGCAGGACAAACGTGGTAGTGGGAGGGAGGGTTGTGGGCTGGGCAGCGATGCATGTATCCTGACTTTTGTGACCAGATCCTGGAGGCACACGGTTGCGTTCTTGGAAAGCAGGGAGGGCACTTTACCATGGGAGGGAACAAGGGAAAGGGGTGGCGAGCTGTCCTAGGGGCGGGTAGGCAAAGATTGGGAGACCCAGGAATTTGCAGTTAAGAGCATGACGGCATAATTGTTTCCTCCCAGTGGCCAGGAGAGGAATAGAGCTTTTCCACTGTAGAAGGAAGGATCGAGGTTAGCGGTTCCCCTGGCAGACGTGGGAGGAGGAGGAACAGGGGGTGTGGGGGGGGTGATGTCTTCTCTCTGCATAGATCCCTCTCAGTAGATGATAGACTTGGCTGGTGGGTGGGACTGTTCTGACTGGACTTGGAGAAGGGTTATTTCACAGCCTTTCCCATCATGTGGGGTCCAAGAGGTAACCATCTGAAGGCAGGGGGTTGTCGCTCCATTTGGAGTTGAGAGAACTGGGCGTTCTCCAGATCTTTCCAGGTCTCTCCGATGAGACAGCAGCCGTCTCCAATGAGTTTCCAGGTGGGCTGTAAAACCCGCTGCCGCAGGAAGGCCCAGCTTCCACGTGGCTCAGCCACATGCTCCCAGAAAAAGAACATGCCTCCCTGCCAGAGAGGAGAGTTAGTGTCTCTTATCTGCTCCTTTCACAACCTTCCTCCCACCTCACCTTCACCCGCTGATCCAGCCGAGCCAGACAGCCGCTGGCCTGCGGGTTTGTGGAGATCCAGCCGAGCCAGACAGCCACTGGCCTACGGGTTTGTGGAGCCAACGGTGGCTGCTTCAGATCCCCTGGCTCCTACCCTCCCACTCAAAGTATGTGTGAAGAACCTCCCGTGACTGAGTGGGATGGCTGGCGAGAGGTCTTTGAAGGGTGGCCAGAAGCACGACATAGCCGAGGGCAGACAGATGGCAGGACGGAGAAACAGGAGCAGAGACTGCATCGTAGGCAGACGCACACCCGAGGTGTCTGCATCCACCTACTTCCTGGACATCTCGACCAACATCCCAGGGAAGCCTCGCACCTGACTCGACTAAGCTGGAGCTCGTCCAGCCCCCGTTTCCTCACTGTAATCCCCCTAGGTGATCTCATGTACCTTACATCTCTAGGCTACATCTTTTTCTGACTTCCAGATCTGGACTCCCAGTGGCCTCTGTGGCTTCTCCACCTGGCTGTCTCAGTGGCACCTCAGACCTAACAAGCCCCAAAGAGTTTTCTGCCATCTCAACAAATGGCTCTTTCTTCTACTCTCTCTCACTCCCTGCACCAGTTGCTCATGCCAGAAACCTGGAAACCATCCTAAACCCCTTTCTCTCCACACCCAGTTCAAACTCTTACGGATTCTACTTCCCCTAAAATCTCTACCTGGAGCTCTCCTCTATTTCCTCCACTCTCTCCACACTTTGCCTGATCCCTCAGATTTCAACGTGAACATCTCCTCCTTGGGTGTCCTCCTCCCACTCCCCGTCACTAGGTGGCTCTCCTGTGTGCCTCCACGGTACCCTATTCTGTTCCATCGAGGCCCTGGGCATATTTCCTAGTCACCAGCAGATGGGAGTGGATGAGTGTCTAATGTGCTCAGACACCAGATTCTCCATCCTGGGTGCCCTGACATGGGGTTGGCTGCTGCTGCATTTGCCTGCCCTACGCCCACACCCTTCCCATTCTGCTCACCGGCCTCAGCACTCTCTGGACCTCCTGCAGCACCCTTCTTGGGCTCTGCACAGAGCACAACACCAGGGTGCTGACCACCACATCCATGGAGCCATCAGCCAGTTGTGTCATGTCCTCTCCAGGAGCCACCACAAACCGTTCGTGTTCATGTTGGAGGTGCCTGTTCTCAGCCATGCTCTTCACCAGGAACTTCTCAAAGTGAGGGTTTGGGTCCAGGCAGGTGATCCTGCAGCCAGCTGGGTAGAACTGAAAGCTGGCACCCGTGCCACAGCCCAGATCCAGCAGCTCCACCTTCGCGGAGGCTCCCATAAGCCCCTCTATCTGGCCAAAGAGTTCCCATTTCTTGCTCTCCATCTTGTAGCTGCTCTTGGCAGTCAGCACGGCGATCAGGTAGGGAGAGTAGCTTTTGCACAGGGGCCGCCAGCAGCCCAGCAGCCCATCAGGTGCAGGGGCAGCGTTAGGAGCAGCACCAGCAGCTGCAGAAGTCGGACCAGGGTGTCCATGGCAGACCACGTCGGAGGGGTGCTTCCGTTGGGGCACCGCCCTTTCTCTCTGCCCAGCTGCTGAAGTCACTGGTCTCCCCTCTCCCCTGTGATAGGACTTTGTTCTCTGTCTCCTGCTTGGTGATTTCCTCTTCACCAGGGTAGAGTGGGGTTAGGGAATCCCTGCAGAGGGCACAGGTCCCACCGCCCCACAGGCTCTTTTACGTGGGACGAAGGGACGGGTGAAAGGACGGGTGGTGCTGCTGAGTCCTGAATTCTGGGATGCTCTGCCCAGTTGAAGAGCGTGGGTTGTGCTATCACCTCAGAGAGGAGCAGGATGGCGGAAGGAGGAGAGAGGATCTGTCTCAGATGACAGTGTCATGGGTTAAATGCTGGGGCAGAGCTGACTCATGGGGCACATCTTGGCCCCATTCTGTCTTCAGTTTCTGCAAATTGGAAATCCTGGTTGGATGCCCTGGCACAGCCCCAGAGCTTTGCCCCAGATGGAAGCCAAACAGAGTATTTGAGGTAAGGTCGATCAGTCAGAAGGACTGGTCAGAAGCTGGCCAAAAGAAAGGCATTGTCTCAACAGACTGACGTTTATTATCGTCTCAAGGCTTCAAGGCCCCAAAATAGAAGAAAAGAAAGGAGAAAAAGGCAGAGTGGAGAAGAGTCAGGCAGGAGACCTGGGTCCTAGAGTTAGTTCTGCCATTAACTCGCTGTGCTTCTTTGGGCCAGTCTTTTTACCTTCTGGCTCCAATTTCTCATCTGTGAAACGGGAAGATGAGGATACACTGTACGGGACTTACACAGTTTCTAAGGTCTCCTCTTTTTAGCTCCCACATTTGTGTGATCTAAGGGGAGTGGGATAAGACAGAAAACAGGTGACTTTAGGTGTTCTCGCAGACCAGGACAGTACCCCCGGGCTTCAGCACCAGGCCAGGGACTGCCATCGAGGCAGGGAAGTCTCAGAGATCAGACTTTGGGGTCACAGGCATTTTAGCAGAAAGTCCCCAGGTGATTAAGTGGTGGCTTCTCTTTTGGCAGAAGCCTCCCTCAGAGTGTTGGGGGAAGCACATCACAGACGGTCCTGAAGGCTGTACACCAACTGCACAGTGGCCAAAGGAGATTTTATTTATAGAAAAAAATATCAACAACTTGACGTTACGTAAGAGGGAAATTACAATAGCCTAAAATCTCATGAGGAGCATTTCCCAGGGCCGCTGATGGCCTCTGGGGGAGGACTGAGTTTAAACAAAGTCCCTGGTTGGGAGGGGTGCTCTGTCGAAGTCCACTGGCAGATCTGCCCGGCCAGTGGGGGCCTTAGAGGAAAGATCTGGGGACAACTCCTGAGTCATGAAGGGATGAGCTATTTCGGGGAGTATCTTCTCCTTCACTGAGCTGCCAAGAACAGCCCCTGTGCCCAGCAGAGAGGTTTTGTGACCCCACAGTTGGACATGTTCTTCTCTGCTCTTTGCTTCTGCTGTGACTGTAAAGGTGGCAGCGATTCTCCTCAGAGTAGGGGTTGCAGCTTCTGTCCTCAGGAGGTCACAGACGTGAACAGAGATTCAAAATTCCGTGAGAAGTCTTCGCCAGGGACCTGCCAAGTTGAGCCGCGTTTGTACCAAAGCTGCGAAGAAGGCGGCCCGGGTCATCATCGAGAAGTGCTGCACGCGCCTGAGCGACGACTGACACACCAAGTGTGAGTGCGAGGAAGTGGCCGTCATTCCCAGCAAGAAGCTCCACGACGAGATAGCGGGCTGTGTCATCCATCTGATGAAGCAGATTCAGAGAGGCCCTGTGAGAGGTATCTCCTTCAAGCTGCAGGAAGAGGAAGGAGAAAGCTGAGATAACTACGTTCCTGAGGTCTCAGCCCTGGATCTGGAGGCCACTGGAGTTGATCCCGACACTAAGAAAATGCTGCAGCTCTTGGACTTTGGCAATCCGTCCCACCTGCAGGTCACTCAGCCTACACTTGGGATGAATTTTGAAATACCATGCAGAGCAGTTTGAATCTTTCTGCCGTGCTTTAATATTTCCAATAAATCATCTCATTCTTCCCTTAAGCAACTCATGGCTCACCCAACTGGTGAGACACTTCCTGTTGGGGCTGGCTCTGGTGTCCCAACATGGCTACTGTACTGCCATACCCCTGAAACTGTGATCCTGGGGAAAGAGAGGGCCCTTCATAAATAAAGGCCCAGGCCATACAGTTCTTCCGTTTTCCCAAATGATAATAAGACCCTTCTTTTCTGTCCTACTGGGGAGTTCTTTGCTCTTAATGGGAGGAAAGGAGTGGGAATTTAGATATATCAAGTTCAAGTTCTCTCTTTCCAGGAGAGCCACCTGCAGCTCAAGAGATCATAGTGGTAGTTCCTGCTAGCAAACCCAAGGAGGTGGGGAGAAGTGCACCCTGCCAGCAGCCTGCTGTCTCTCCAGGCTTCCCCAGAGGAAAGAAAAAACCAATCCCAGTGTTATACTGAAGATCTGCACCATTCCTTTCCTGTCTGGCCACAGAACTATTATAGAGCAGTCCAGAATAAGCAGACTAGAAATACGGTTTTGTCTAAATAACTCATTCCTTGTATCACATAAGTTAAAGAGCCATATCGATCTACATCTTAAGAAGAAAGGGTTTCTTATGGGCTCCTCCTCTCTCTCAACGTATGTTCAAGCTTCAGATTTTAGCCAAATGCTAACAGAAGTTTTCCTCTGTCCACGTTTTAGCAGAACCAAAGTGCTGGGGAGCTGTCTCTGATTTCATGAATGGAGTAGACATTGTGTGATAGAGCCAATTTCCTCAGAAGTTACCTAAAAAAAAAAAAAGCACACCTCACCATAGCAAGGATGAATTTTTCTCCCAAGTCAATAAAATCTGGTTTTATAGTAAGAAAACATATGCTGCCTCTAATGTTAAGATTTTGACACTGTTTCTTACAAAACGATAACCTTAACAGGACTATGCTGAGGAACACTTCTTCCTGAGCTTGCATTAGCTCCAACAGGTGGTTCAGCCCCTCCCAGGCCATGTGTAAACTCTAAATTTTGAGCCACAACTCTCTTTTGACAGAAGCAAAGGGGAGGTCTCAGTACTTCTTAACACACCGTAGTTCACACTCTAACTCATATCTGATAGTTTCCATTATTTTGCTATGAAATACCAAAACATCACATTTGAATAAAGAGGCTACATACAGAAGTCACACAACAAATATAGATAACAAGAAGAGCATGCTGGGGTACTAGGGGTTGGGGGGCACGTATTCTTCTGCTACTCCATGCCAAGCTCCCTGTGAGTTATCCTTATGATCAGAGGAGACCTAGGGTAAAAGTTGGCTAACTACAGTATAAAGCAAGCCATTTTAGCACAGACACTTGTAAAATGTAAAAATATTGCTTTGGATTACCAAAAAAGATGTTTACACTAAACATTCTGACCCTATTCCAACCTTGAGCCTCACCCCATTCCTGAAGCTGAGGGCCCAGCCCCAGTCCCTGCCCCAACCCCAATCCCTTCTGATCCTCTGATCCTCTGGCCCTGACCCCTGCTCATTGACCAGGCCTTGGACAATCTCGCCTACCAGTTCCACCCGGGTCCACCTCTTGCCACGCCTAACCAGATCCTGGCTGGACTCCATTTTGTCCTACTTAGCCAAGCCCAATCCCAGGCCCCAGACAGCTCTTGTTTGACCCTGCCTGTGAGGTGCTGAGTGTCTAGACCTGCTCAGCTGAGTACAGTTGGTAGATTGAATCCTTTGTCACCACCACTTTCTGAAGTCAAGCTCTGGAATGTCCAGCCAGCGAAGATCCACAGAGCACTGCCTCCTGGAGGAGTGAAAGGGGCCAAAGACCCTGAGCTCACAAGTTCCATCCCCTTTTTCAGCCAATGAAGTGATTTCTTAATGTGGAGGTACATATGAATGACTTGAGGATCTTGTTAAAAATGCAAATTCAGATTCAGATGGGGTGAGGTGGGGCCCAAGACTCTGTATTTCTAACAAATGCCAAATGAAGCCAATATTACTGGTCCAGGAAGCACAATTTGAGTGGTAAGTTTCTAAAAATACTAATTACTGCAGTTCTGCAGAATTAAAAAATAATTCACAGTAATGACAGCCCTAATTTGCACCAAGGGAAGAGAACATATTACCGTACATAACACTCCAGCCCACAGAATATGGAGCCTGTCCCACGCATATTTTGCACTAATCACATGCAGTACTGCTTTGAATTTCACTTAATAGTTTCCTTTAAGTGTGTTTTGATTCCTATTCATGCATCTGGTTCATTTACAACATTCATTCATTCTGCAAACATTATCAGTTACTACTGTGTTGGGGCTATAGAAATATATAAGTCATAGTCCCTGTGTTCAGTAAGCCAACAGGCCATTAAGGGAGACAGATGTGTAAAGGGGCATTTTCAGTACAGTATAGTAAGTACAACAATAGTATCTGTATATGGTGTGAGGGGAAAGAGGCCTATAACCCCATGAGAGTTGGGAAGTCATCAGGAGAGCCATTTTGGGTAAAGAAGAGCCTGAGCTGAATCTAACAAAGAGAGGGTCAGTGAGCCAAGTGAGGTGTATGGGATCCACCTGGCAGAGGTTCCAGCGTGAGACAGCTGGGTAGGAGGGAAACTGTAGACACTTCGAGTTGCAAGAGCACAGTTAGCAAGGGAGAAAGACTCAGAGAAGAAGCTGAGGTGTCCATAGGAGCTTATCACAGAGGGCTTTGTCTGCCATGTTAAGGAGCTTGGACTCCATCCTGTGGACAAGAGAACAATTCAGATTTTTAAATAAGAGTGTGGTATGGTCATGTTTGGGTTTATGTAAATCACATTTAGGGACTGAGTGGAAAAGGGATTTGAAGGCGCCAAATCTAGAAAGATCCAGGAGACACAATGAGGAAGATGTCAACAAGTAAGCAACTGGATATGCAAGTCTGAATGAAACTCACAGGAGAGGTCTGAATTAAAGAGATAAATATATGAAAAATTAGCATATATCCGATATCTAAAAC